GCACCAGACCAGAACCGTTATGATAATTTAAACTTTATTCAGCCAAATATACAGGTTTTTCTTTCTTTCTTTTCTCTCTCTCTCTCTCTCTCTCGCCTGCCTCTATTCCAGAAAGATGCACAATCCCGAAGATGCGTTCTCTGGTTTTTCGTTTTTCCCAGGGTTGGTTTGTGTGTGTGTGTGTTTTTTAAAGAAGTCATTATCGAATTCCAGAGGAGGAGGAAAGAAATGAAAAGGACAGCTTGAAAATAATAATAATAACTGGGTGGAAAAGAGAAAACCAAATAGCCAGGGGGTTGAGGGCTGGTGATGGTCAAGGATTCCACCTCCGCCCCACACCTCTTCCATTTCTCTGGACTCTTCTGCAGCCCAAGTCCATGCCAAAGCACATTCTGCGTTTCCCCCCCCCCCCCCCCCCCCCCCCCCCCAATTTTTGGAGGAGCGCCTCCGCGCGGCCCCGCGCCACTCATCCCCCCCCCCCCCCCCCCGCCCAGTTCCCTGGAAGCTAGCTGAAGCAACCGAGCCCCTCCCCAGCAAACCTTCCTCCTCCGTTGGGCCTCCCAGCCGAAATCAAAAACCACATCAAACCGTTCAGCCGCTGGCCGTTTTCCCCACCCTCCCCCCTTTTCCCGAAAACGGTCATTTTAATGCAACCGTCGGTGTTGTCGCGATTCTGCACCCAAGGTGAAGAGTGCCCTCCCCCTGCCGCTCTTCCCCTCCCCTGCTTGCCCCCCCCCCCCCGCCCCCCCCCCCCCCCCCCCCAAAAAAAAAAAGTAATCCCGTGGAATTCTGTGCCCGGATGAAGACAAACACGGAAGCGGTCAGTGTCTCTTCAGAGGGGATGGGTGAGGCCACCATCGCTGCCGCTGTCCTCCTCCTGCAGCCTCTCTGGGAAAGGACGCCGCAGCGAGTCCGAAGGGTGCCAGGCCCAGCACCATCCCGGGGGTGTCCCTCCTCTTGGGGGAGGGGGGGGGGCTGCCTTTACTTGTTGAGGGACAGTGACTGCATCCGTTTGCCTGTCATGGCCGCTTCGTCTTTAGCTGGGAGGGGAAACCAGAGAAGGAAGAACAGCTGAATCCATCCATCCTTTCCTTCTTCTTTCTCTCTTCTTTCTCTCCTCCTTCCCTCCCTTCTCATTTCCATCCCTTTCCTTCTTTCCTTCCTTCCTTCCCTCCCTCCGTCATCCACCTTTCTACATAAGAATTCCTACGGAAAGGGATTTAACTCCAGATCAGCTACTTTTATGAAGGGCTGGTGGCTCTTTCCTTTCCTTTCCTTCTCTTTCCCTTTTTTCTTTTTTCCTTCTTTCTTTTTTCCCTCCTTCCCTTTCATTTCCATCTCCTTCCTTCCTTTTCTTTTTTCTTCTTTCTCTTCATTCTTCTCCCCTCTCTTCTAATTTCCATCTCTTCCCTCCCTCCCTTCACACATAAGTGACTTAAATACTTAAAAAAAAAATCCAGCACATAACAAATACTTAAACAATACTTTAAAAAAAAAACACCCTACCACATAATAAAAACCCACTCAATCCTTCATGGCAGCAACAGCACAATCGAATTAGCCCTGGGCCCACCCCAAAAACCAAGGCTTCAGGGCCCTTTGGAAAAGCAACAAAGGTAGGGGCCAACTGCACTTCAGGGGGAACGATGTTCCATAAAGAAGGGGGCCACCACTGTGGTCTCACCAGAGGAACATCCCTAAGTCATGGGACCCATAACATGATCTGCCTTCCCCTCCCAGTGGAGGTAGTAGGGGAGAGGCATCCGTCATATCTAATCTGGGATTAGGAATTCAGACAAACGCCTGAATTTTGGAACGCCGCAGTGGTCCTAAGTACGAGGACCGGTCATATGCCCATTTTTTTCAGTGCCGTTGTAACTTTGAATGGTTCTAAGCCAAAACCTACCTATGACAGCAAAGGGCTCCCAAAGTCTAGGCCCACTTTAGCCTCAGCCAAACATTCCCTCCTTACCTCTCCTCTCTTCCTCCTTCTTTTTGGCTGCTTCT